GTGGATGTGGGTGGGGGCGGGGGGGGGGGAAGAGAGCTGCAATTGATTATTTTGTGTTCTTATAGTCCGCTTTGTACAATAGGTAATTTTATAAAGATTCGAGAGTTAATATTCTTTTATATTTGTATTTAATATCCATTGTACTGGCTAATATTAAAAATTAAAACACAAGCTTTGCAACAGTCCCATCGACATTATATCGTATATTATGATTATTGCGCAACGACCAGTGTATATTTTAAACGGAATCAATTCCCCTCGATGCTTTTATAAAGCTTGTCCTTAATCCAACAAGATAAAAATAGAATTACAAATTAAGCTTATTTTTCTCCTGTTATTTATTTATTTATTTATTTATTTTGTTTATTTATTATGATTTTTTCTTCTTCTCGTTTTATCATAACTAAGCAGATAGAGCATAATGTAAACAAAAGAGAAAATTAATCGTTGTTCTTGTTGACGAGTAGTGGCCCGATGTCTTTTAGATTTAGCCTTTTGACGTTCTAGTTATATAGGCAATTTGAATTTGGACATTTAGGACATAGGATATTTTTAAAACGGTGTTATAAAATAGCAGCGAACCGAACAAAGTCCATAAACCTTAAACGAGCGAAGTCTTTGCGCGTCTCTTGTGTAATTAGCGAGATAAGCATGAAGCGCGAGCGTGGGTGAGTAAGGCGTAAGGCAAATCGTAGGCGCGTCGCAAATATCCTCGAGGCCGAGCCCAATAGAAACGAAGGCATAAAGTAAAGGGCCTAGGTGTGTGTGTGTGTGTGTGTGTGTGTGTGTGTGTGTGTCTTGGCACGGCATCGACTCTCGACTTGAAATTGATATTGACCATTGGACTTCCATGTAGCTGCATCACCTTGCGATGCACCGCCCCGGTCGAGTATCTGTTCTGGCGTCGGGAGCGGCTGCCGTGTATCAGCCGGAGGCTTCTCCAGGTCATCGCCGATAAGTGCTCGAACAAGCATCCGGTATTCTTCCACGTGTTCAGCAACGGAGGCGCTATCTTTTATCAGCATATTAGTAGCGCGATGCAGCAAGCTGGATCACCTCTTAAGGTGCGTATTGTCAAATCCGGGTATCGTAATTAGCGCCGTCCCCCCCCCCCCCCCCCCCCCC